AATGATGGTCTTCTTTTCCTAAACCGACTTTCTTCAGGAATTTCTCGGCATTGAATGAATTCAGCATTGACATCCCTGTAAAAAACACTAGCATTATTACAAAATTACTTTACTGTTTACACATATATCTCAACTGAGGCATTTTGTCGAACATTTCAAAGGCGGTATACAATAAATGATAAGTAAATTCAGGTAACTATGAAAAGATTACTGTAAATTACACATTTAATAACCTGAGATTGTTTTCCAAAATTCTGGAAGAATAGATGTAACAGTAGCATTATTAAATCGCAAAAACAAAAATACAATTTCATATGGGAATTGGGATTAATTTTCTAGATTACGAAATTATATTATGATGAATTACCTGTTTTAGCATCTTGGAATCGTCTACGAACCATTGAGGAAAATTCTTGAGAAAACTAAAATTTGATTTACGGTTAATGAACAAATGATCTTCCCCACGCTGTTGGCAATTACATTTCCTTGGTTACTGAAGAGGATAAAATACACGGCTGATCACTAAACGTTTGGCAGGGTTTCACTTAAGTCACCAAGCTTTTCTTTTATCTACTTAAGTCACCATACTTTATATTTCATTTCCATTTGCACACATCGTTACTATCCGTTTAGAAAATTTGTAAAGAATGCTGACGTTGGATATGTACTATTGGAATATAATAAAGAGTATAGGGTGGGATTTAAACCATCAGATCATATCTCAATCTAAAATTGCGTGATGTAATAGTCCAAATGAATTTGAGCAAAAATATGTAACTATTCATTATATCATATTCAAATCTATAAATTGAAATTTTAATTCTATTTTTATCATTCTGAATCGATTCAATTTTATTGATTTCTAAATTCTCATATTTACAATATAATATACAAATTGTTTCCGAGCAAAATTTTGTTCAGGCAATTCAAAAGTTCGTGTTTTTATTTCGTTCATGAAGAGTACGATCAAGGTCAATTCACTTGACAAAATTAATATTTCGCTATATAAATTGTAAAAGAAGCGTTATATTCTGCAAAGATAAATTGTCTAATAGGGTGAGAAATCTAATGCTCTCGACAAAGGTATTTGAAATCAGCGTGACAGATTACTCGAAGAATGGCAGGTTGAAACCGACTCTACTTGTCACATTTGTACTAACATAGAGTTGCATAGTAAATTAACCTTTTTTAAGTGAAAAAGGTTAAGTTTGTGGTTTACCATANNAAGGTTAAGTTTGTGGTTTACCATATGACTGTGGGGATAGTAACGTTGTTGGATTTTAAACTTTTATTAGGATCTACCTCGGATTTGTCCATGCCTATTCTAACTATATGCATTATGGAACGGAAAGAGAAGAAGAAGCAGAATGATTGAATCATTTCGTGGAAGCTATTCTGGTACTGTCGAAGTCCATGCCAGCTATTTGTTTAAATTGCCTTCTCAAGCAACAGTAGCTATGGTAGAAAAATTTGCAAATGACAATATGTCAAGACACAAATATGTGGACATAATATTATTTGACATTTGCTTTCAAATGGAACAATATGATTTATCTTGTTAAGTCATGAGAAAATCTAGCAGATATGTTTACCATCGAGTTTTCTGGAGAGCGAATAAACTGCGCATCAAGTTAAATGAGTTTAAAGTCTAAATTTAATCTACTCAATTAAAACCTAACATTGTGATTGGATATCCCACCGATTAGCTTCAATGGGAAAATTAGTTACAAATGACTCGATGAAAAGCAATTAGAAGATTAACTCCTCATTTTTATGATTCAAATGAGTGTTGTTTAAAAAGATTGTTGATGGTAAACTTTTCTTTTAGTAATGATTATACCTTGTAATAGTACAAGCAAAGTATTGTATGGTACACTTTGTAGAAGATAACACACGTGAGAAGCTAACTTAGTCAGTTCCATAAGAATTTTACTTAGAAGAATTATCTAACATACTTGTAGAACTCAATAGAGTTCATGGCCAAAATAATGAACGTAATAGAAAATCGAGCTTGATATAAGAGATAATGTGTTTGATCTATTGTTTAGACTCTCAATAACAGCTGACAATTCAAAATGTTGTGTTCACTGGTTAGCCAAATGAGTTCAATAAATTTTTTATCAAAGCTCAAAGTAAAAATTACTTATCTTGATACATTATCTTTGGAATAGTACTTCTTAGTCTTTCTTGTATTGAGTCGATTTCTTTTATTCACGTGGAGAATTGTTGAAATTTACAAGTTGTTTAATGATTAATATGTGTTAATTGAGACAATAGGTCTTTATTATTTGGTATAACTCTTCAAGTGCAATGCTTGCATGATAAAGAATTAGGACATTTAATTATACTAAACGCCCCCAACCTTACCTATTATTTGTACTAATGTGCATAATTGTTCTTGTTCACATTCTTATTCTCAAATTTCCACTAATTATCACATCTTGTCCCAAATGGTGGTTTTTCTCCAAAAGAAAACCGTCGAGACTGCGTAGAAAGAATTGTTTGTCATTTTATTTATAAATAAGGAAATATATATAAAAAAATATTTGCGTGACATAAAACCCTCATTTTAAAGCACACTAGTAGAATATCTGGACATGAACTAATATCGTGGACCAAATGTTAGTTAATAAGAAAAATATAGACAAGAATGCAACTGAAAATAGGTAGAGGTACAAGTTTTGAAATTGAGAGCCTTTAATGCAATTAAAAAGTGATGGAACAAATAAAAAAACTTGATGTGTCAATATAGCCAACCATTCAATTGTATTGATTTCTAAATTCTCCTCTCCAACACTCTTTCCAAATTATTTCAAAGCAAAATATTGTCCAAGCAATTCAAAACATTGTGTTTTATTCCGTTCGAAAAGAGTATGATCAAGGTTAGTTCGATCAACAAGATTAATGTATTAGTTTTGGAAGAAATATTTTATTTTGAGAGATATACACTCATTTGATTATGTTAGTACCAATGTAGGATACCATTAAAGTCTTTCTTCGGGCTGTCTTCGGACAAGTTTCTTGGATTCATTGTGCAGAATCAGAATATATTTTCAGAGAGTTGATACGGTGTACCTCACTTCATTTTATTTCCTTCTACATTTTTTGTATTTTCTATGTTTTAATAAATCGTTATTTGCTCATTTTGCATGCATACATAAATAGCCTCTTTAACTTTGCCAACCATATTGTCCATCTTAGACCATTTCATATAAACTCCTTTTCCTCAACATGATACAAGTTTCACTTAACACGATCTAATTTGCATTGGCCATACAAGACTTGAAATTGAGCAAAACTATTCGGACGTTGTACTGAACAATGTTGCACCGTACAATAAGCATGTTTAGGGGTTGTTTGACGAAGTTCTTGATAAAAAGAATTTATCATATTTTAATAAAAGTTGATGAAATGTACTCTTGAAAAGTTGATAAAAATTGTAAGTTTCATGAAATGTTTGATTAAAATTAACTGCTGACTATAAACTCAACTTTTTAACAACTTTTAAGCTATTCCAATCCCCAAACAAGCATTTAACAAGCTATGAGCTGTTAGCCACTCCTCGTATTTTCTTTTAATTTCAGACAGAAAACTCTTCAAGAATCCATGAAAGGCATCAGCCAACTGAATCCTTTTTTATGTCACATTCACCTTCACCTTCTCGAAGTATAAATTACAGACATTGGACAGCTCACAGAAGCTTTACTTTTAATTTTTTTTTTTTTCGTTTTTCTTCTATTTGACAATCCATTGGCCTACGATTGACTTACACGTAATTTCTTGTTCTTTAGACTAAAATACTTGCTTCTATTTATTTATGATCAGACGAGACTTTGCTTTCGTTTTTACATTTTATTCTTAATAAATTTGAATAGACTATACAAATCTTTTTTCGCTGTTTTTAATCGATAGATTTATTAGAATATTTATCGTAATTACATTGTTAGCAACTACAATCGACCATATTAAGGGCGTGTTTGATGAATATTATTGAGGAAAGAATGCATTTTAAATAGTGATATGATGGGAAATATGTGGTTAAAAAGTGAGAAAAAGTTATTGATGTGATGAAAAATATTATTTTATTAAAAAATGTATGGTTGAGCCCCTGTTTGTTTCCAATTTTAAGCAGAATTTTTACCGTTGCTACAGTTGGTGAGCCGCAATATTTGACCACTTTCTCTCATAGAGGGCCCACTTTTTTGAAAAAAAAAAGGTAAAAAAATCCGTTTATAAGTTAAAACAATGTGAACAAACAGGTGTTGAAAATGAATTTTGAAAGAATGTGCGTCAAATGGTAGCTAAATTCATATTTGTGATTGTAATGGTGTCATCCAGTTGTAAACTTATTGTAAAAAGCAATTCTCCCAAGTGTAATTAGTGTGTGTTTGACACCTATTTTAATGGGTTGAAAATTTTTGAAATAATAATTGATGAGAGAATGTGTGGTGAAAAAGTGATAAAAAGTTTTAGATTTGTGTGTAATATTATTTTATTTGAAAATTGTGTGGTTGAAATGAAGAAAAAGAATGGATGCCAAACTGGGACTTTCTTTGGAAACAAAATGAATTAATTAGAAAGAGTACTTTTGACCTTTTTGGTTAATTTTTAAATAAAAAGATTTCTGTAAAGGACTTGTTTGCCAAGGATTTGCATTAATAAAACAACTGTAGTTGGACCAACCTAATTAAGTATCGACTTAATCCAAGTTTAAGTGGATTGGACCGAATTTAGTTAGCGTGTAATTTCAATTAATGGCTTATAATCAAACTGTAAATATGATATTGAAAAAAAACTTGTTTTGTTCACTCTATTATTTAACCCTTTCGATCATGTACACAAGGAGGGGGGTTGTTTGATAGTTTTTTTAATAAAAGTTTTAGTAGATTTTGATAAAAGTTGATAAAATATATGGTTGAAAAGTTGATCTTGACAAACTGCTTCTAAATTGCTTCTCTTCCCAAGAAAGGCATTGTTGTTTTCCCTTTATTTAGTGTTTTGTCGTTAGAAAGTAATTACTTATCGATGGGGATAAGTAGACTGATAATTCAACTGAAAAGGTTTATGGGGACGAGAGACTCCTTTATTCCTTCTAATTAGTAAGAAAGCGAAGATGAGTTAGCCAAAAAGATAGTAACGACCACCAAGATGATTTCAGTAAACTTGTTTGAAAGTACTTCTGATTTTTTATCTTTTCTTTCTTGCAACGGCAACCGCTATGAGGAACTATTATAATTTGAATCGGTATTTCAAGTAGGGTTCTTTCCCAATCACCGACAGAATATGTGATTAAAATTATTTATCGACTTTAGCCTCTACTTTTTAGTAAATTTTTAGTACTTTTTCAAACAAGGAATACTTTTAAATGTTTGTACATACTGAGTGAGTTTTGAGTCATTTTCTCACGTGCATCTTCTTTGTTAAGTATCTTCTGTCCACCAAAACAAATATATTTATTTTTTGAACGACCCAAAATATAGCTACTCCTTTAAAAGGTCATCATAGTACATTGAAAAAGTGAGACTAAGAAAACATATTTGAGAGAGAGAGAGAGAGATGGGTGCATGGGTTCGGGTGTTGCTGCTAGTGACTTGTTTATTGTGGCCGGCGGCAATGGTGGAATGTGGGGTTCGTCGTTACAAATTCAATGTAAGTATACACTATTCATTACGATTTTATAGCTTTCGTTAGAGTTCTTTTTGGCACGTAATATTAAATAGTAGTGAATGGATTATATTAAATTCTTTTTTTAATCTGAGTCATTATTTTCTAGCTTAACGTCGTGTCATCTTGCAAGCATTCTATTTTTCGCACTTGTCTTGTGGAAAATCCATATTATGCATATTAAACATCACCGAAACAAGATTTTAGATTTTCCTTTAATAATTCTCTCTAACCGGGGCAGAGCCAGCAAAACTCTCATTTCTCTAATTAAAATGTTATCTTCGGGCATGCTCTTTTGTCGATGGTTGAATTTTTAGTGCATTATGTCCCTAGCTTAAATTCTGACATTTAACTATAAAAGAGTGAACCATGCTGCATGAACAAGTTCAGTGACGGAATTTTAAACAGGAGGATACGTGTCATTTTTTCATTTGACTGTTAGACAAAAAAAGGCAACGAGACAGGTGCTACCACACAGCACTTGTCACCAAACCCTGTCAATTTTCCCAGTTTGAATAGCTTTATTCATAAAAGAGCATGCCAACAAGTAATCTTGACCATTGAAAACATGGAAAATGTGGTGGTCGACTAAACTCCAACGATCCCATTAGTGTTTTGTTGGTAAAAATCTTGCTAAATTTCAGCAACCTCTCAGAATTCTTGTTCCTTGAGAGTAAATAGACACATTCTAACTATAAAAGGTTTGGGACAACAGATTTGTCTTTGCCAATATATACATATCTTTAAATTATTGTGGGTGTAGAGATAAAATGTTGCTATCATTGTTGAAGTTAATTTCATTTTTCATTTAAAATATATCACAAAAGAGCACCAAAAATATAAAAAGAAATTCAGGAAATAATCGAACATAAATTTCATTTTTTTTTTTTTTTTTGACAATTTATCCATATGCAGGTAGTGATGAACACAATGACAAGATTGTGTTCAAGTAAGTCCATTGTGACAATCAACGGCCATTTCCCAGGTCCCACTATCTATGCAAGGGAAGATGACACCCTGTTGATCAAGGTCGTCAACCGAGTCACTTATAACATGAGCATTCACTGGTCAGTTCATAACTTTATGTACTTGTTCAATCGTCAATCTCTCATTTAGGTTTTCCAATATTTCACTTCATTTCCAAGCCTTCTGCCCAAAAATGTGTATGGAAAAATGCTGGTAACTGAAGCAATTCAGAAGAGACTGACCAGAGCTAGTCAAGTTTTCGAGTTCTAGAGACCAGAGTCTAGTTGGACTCGATATGACATTGAAGTTTTTAGGCATCATATCTCTTGAATTGCAGGCATGGAATAAAGCAATTTCGAACAGGTTGGGCGGACGGGCCGGCATATATAACACAATGCCCAATTCAACCAGGGCAAAGCTATGTGTACAACTTTACAGTGAGTGGGCAAAGAGGGACACTTTTTTGGCATGCACACATTCTATGGTTAAGGGCAACTGTCCATGGAGCCATTGTCATCCTGCCTAAGCTTGGACTACCTTACCCTTTTCCGACACCCCATAAAGAGGTTGTGGTAATATTAGGTAGGCTTCTTCTCATTAACATTTTTATCTCGATAATTTTCTTATTTTCATATGTAAAATCTCTTTTTCCACGCGTCGAAAGTAGTAGAAGATCAGAATCTAAGATTCCCGGCAAATAGGACAAAATATCCAGGGTCTTGATTAGAAATTAATCGTTCGATGTCTGATTTGATCAGGGGAGTGGTGGAAGTCGGATGTTGAAGCTGTGGTTAATGCAGCCATGGAGTCAGGCTTGGCACCTGATGTTTCAGATGCTTACACAATCAATGGTCATCCAGGACTCATCTCAAATTGTCTCGGCCAAGGTACAAATATTATTCTAGCAACTAGTAAGCATATCTCTTTATCAAGGATTGTTGAATCTCGAGACTCAACCCTCAAAGGCTGGTCAAAATTGTTCTTGATGTAGGTCTCGATAGTCGAGTTGCACGTTCGATCAGCTCAAGTAGATGTAAATTTGTTACGTTTGTGTTCTTATATAATTACACGTGAATATAATTGATGAATCCGGTGAAACACGGGGTTGAAAATGATTTTGAAGAAAAATAATTTTAAAAAGTCATACTTCTTTCATCTAACAAAATTTCTAAAATTTCCCCAGGAGGATTCAATCTAGCAGTGGAACCTGGAAAGACATACATGCTAAGAATCATCAATGCTGCACTAAATGAGGAACTTTTCTTCAAAATTGCCGGTCACAAACTCACCGTAGTAGAGGTTGACGCCGTCTATGTCAAACCTTTCATCACCGACACCATTCTCACAGCACCTGGCCAGACCACAAACGCCCTTCTCACGGCGGATCTCGGCACCGGAAACTACTTAGTTGCCGCCTCTCCGTTCATGGACTCGCCCATCCTGGTCGACAATGTCACCGCCATCGCCACCATGCATTATACTGGCACCCTGGCCTCCACAGGCACTGTTCTCACAATCCCGCCACCGCGAAACGCCACTCCAGTCGCAGCAAAATTCACGGACTCCCTTAGAAGCCTGAATTCCAAAACATATCCTTGCAAAGTCCCATTGAATACTGATCATTCCCTTCTTTTCACCATCAGTCTCGGTCTGAATCCATGTGGCACTTGTAAAAATGCCTTTCGCGTTGTAGCTGCTATTAACAACGTCACCTTCGCCACGCCCGAAATTTCCCTCCTGGACGCCCATTTCTTCAATATCACCGGAGTTTTTTCGGACGATTTCCCCGGGCATCCGCCGATACCGTATAATTACACGGGCAAGCAACCGGCGAATTTGGGGACAATGATTGGAACCAGGGTGTATAGAGTTGGTTATAATTCAAGGGTACAAGTGGTGTTGCAAGATACCGGGATGATTGCTCCTGAAAACCACCCAGTTCATTTACATGGAACCAATTTCTTTGTTGTTGGAAGGGGTTTTGGAAATTTCAAGCCAGATGAAGATTCTAAGAAATTCAACCTTGTTGATCCTGTGGAGAGGAACACAGTACAAGTACCTTCTGGAGGGTGGGTGACTATCAGATTCACTGCTGACAATCCAGGTATTTTAGCAGTTTTCATAAAATCCTTTTTTCTTTTTTATCAAAACGTTTGAATTAGAATGCTTAGATGGAAAAGAATGCTTCAAGGCCTCGATTTTATTTTTATTTTTTTGTGTGCGTGTGACTGTGACAGACTGGGCCATTTAAGTTCGAGATGACCAATTCATTAAAAAATCTAGTCGAACCAAGTCGGATCAAGTCGATTCACGGGTTGAGCTACTAGGATAAATAGGTCATCCTAGGCTTAATTATCTAGTTCGACAATCCACGAGGACGGATCCAATTGGTCTGGTAATTTAAGAAATTAGAAGTTAAAAGTAAATTAAAAGGATGGTTAATTTCATAATTTGAATCGCTTTAAATTCCCTAAAGAATGAAAACATAAAGAAATAGGTTGGATCCGTCCACAATATTGACGGGCATGGGTTGGAGTAGTCAGACAGTCCGGGTCTATCTCGTATCGTATTTTTAGAAGTGGGACAATGGGCATGAATTGGGCCTACTTTAGGTGGCCCGATCCAACTCAACCCATCCATTTTGACCTAAAACTATCCTTGGTGCCGTTCCGACCCGCCACTTTTTATGTGGCCCGTAGCCTGTCCCAAGAGGGGTCATTCACAGTCCAGCCCGGTTCTAGTCCTTTTTAGAGTTGAGCCACTTGAAACCTAGATGGGCCCCCATTTTGGCACCATTGCTTTAACATACACTAGTTTATGGGAAAAATTCATATATAAGAT